ATATTGTCTGTGATGCTTCCACCTGACATTCATGTCAATAAAACACTGAATTGAATTGAGCCAACACAATAAAAAAGGTTGACATTATTACGGCCAAATGACACAGTGTGGCTATTTTAAAGTTCATCTGCAGTGTGGGACACAATTTTTACACATAAGTTTCACTTCATTAACTTTTCCTCTGAATGATGGGTCTAGGTGCTTTCCCCTCCTGTCAGTGACATCAGTGTCTGCATCCAATGTAACAATATGGTGGGGTACTCCATGATGTTGTGTGTATATATACATATATGTATGTATATATATATATTCAATTGCAAAATCATTGAAATCTGTCCAATGTGTAAAACTCGGTGGTAAAATATGTTTCCTACACCAGAAATAGCGGCCATCTTAGAAAATGGCAACCAGTTCGAAATTTCAAATGGCTAATGGGATATTTCAAATGATTGGCCTCAGAGGAATAAACAAATCAATTTTGGTGCTTGTATCCACATTTGAAAAGAGTATTACAGTAATCTGCTGCACTAATGTTCTCAGAGTCCCTTAAATGCTGTGTGGGAAACCCCTGTCTGGGGTGTCATCTGCCTTTAACTCTAAGTGGCTTCTGTCTAACCACTCCACCATAAAGGTCTGACTGATGAAGAGCTGCTGACAGGGTCGTCCTTCCATTAGACTGCTGAAGCTCTGATAGAGCGAATGTTCTCGGGCTCCTCTGCAGCCCTTTGTGCCGGTTACTCAATTTGAATTTGAATTCAAAGGAAGAGACCTGGTGGTTCCAAACTTCTGCCACTCTGTTCCTGGAAACACTCAGAGTTTTAGAAGTGGTTTCATAAGCTTGCTCAAAAACCACATTTTCATTGCAGAGGTCTACAGAGAGTTCCCTGGGCTTTCTGGCTTGGTTTTTTGTCCCGTCATCCATCCATCCATTTTCTTCCGCTTATCCGGGGTCAGGTCTCGGTGGCAGCAGGCTAAGCAGGAAGTTCCAGACGTCCCTCTCTCCTACAACGCTTTCCAGCTCCTCCTGGGGGATCCTGAGGCGTTCCCAGGCCAGATAGGATATGTAATCCCTCCAGTGAGTTCTGGGTCTACTCTTGGGTCTCCTCCCAGTTTCTATGGATGTGCCCAGAAAAACCTCCAAAGGAAGGTGCCCAGGAGACATCCTAATCAGATGCCCCAACCGGCTCCTTTTGACTTGAAGGATTCACTACATTGACTACAGGTCTCATGACCAGAGGTGAGGGTTGGAACAAAGATCGACTGGTTAATCGAGAGCTTTGCCTTCCGGCTCAGCTTCATCTTCACCACAAAGGTAGTCAAGCTGTGACAAAGTTGTAGACAGATCTCACTGACAACTGCAGAAAACAGTTTGAGTGTCACAGTACAGGGTCTGAATACTTTTGTAAATCAGAGATTTCAGTTTTTATATTTTAATGAATTTGCAAAAACTACTAATAAGGTTTTCACTTTGTCATCATGGGTTATTGAGAGTAGAATGAAGGGACTCCCTTGAGAGGATCTCCACATACCGCATTCACAAGGCTAAAACTGTGTTTTGTGACGTCAACGTGACATTGACCTTTGACCACCAAAATCTAATCAGTTCATCCTTGAGTCCTAGTGAATGTTTGTGCCAAATTTGAAGAAGTTCCATCAAGGCGTTGCTGAGATATCGTGTCCGTGAGAATGGGATGGACGTACGTACGGACAACCTGAAAACAGCTCTGACTGTCAGCGGCGTGGAGACATTCAGAAATGTATCCACACAAAACTAAATCTACAAGACGTAAGAAAAGTCTGAAAACACTCTGAACGCACTGTAAGATCAAAGTTCATTTTTAACCAGTGAACACAATCGAAAAACACAGTGACCTTGAAATGATGAAATATTCCCAATTACACATGTTCTTTAACTTCTGCTCATTACTGCTTTGCATTTGTTTTTCTCATATCTAGTCACATACTGATGACCTCTCACCTGCCAGGAGCACCTGCCCTGAGAGTCAGAGGTCAACTGAGAAAGTGAAGCGAGATCATGACTTTATCAATCTTTATTACAAAAAAGCTCTTGGTTGTAATAACATCAGTCTCCTCAGTTACAGTAGCAGTTGTTCCAGTTAGAGCAGGAAATGTCAGTGACATCAGCTCCACGTCACCTTCTGCTTTCACTTCTCTCCTGTGACGCTGAACTGCACTGCAGCTTTTTTTGCACTAATATTTTTCTAATTCAGTAAAAGGTTGCACAGATGTGCTAAGACATGGAAACCACTCACGAGATCGCAGAGGTTTCGATGAAGGAAGACGCCACATTTTTGGGACATTAAGGCAGGTTGGCAGATACACACACACACACACGCAGAAAACAGACAAGAAGCAAACATACACACACAGACACACACACCTTCAACAAAGCCAAGAACAGTAATAATGCAAGATGGTGTGATGTGATGGTGTTTTCAATAAAAGAAAAATGCTTCGGGAATCTTTTTCCCCACTGTGACATCAGGAAACTGCTGACTCACTCTCACTCTCACACTCACACTCTCTCACACTTACTCTCACTCACACACACTCACTCACACACACACACACACACACCCACACACACACACACACACACACACACCCACACACACACACACACACACACACACCCACACACACACACACACACACACACACCCACACACACACACACACACACACACACCCACACACACACACACACACACACACACACACACGTCCTGAAGGGCTTTGGGAAATTATAATGCAGAGATGCCTTAAGTGCAGCAACAAAGACGACACACACCAACCCAGCACAGTTAACAGACGAACTACTGACAGCATCAACCTACAGTGTTTCACATCATGTCACTTCATCTCAGTTCTAACATTTCAAAAGGATTAAAAAACAAAAATCTACACCTATTAAAAGTTTTACAGTGGAATCACAGGGTTTTACCAGTTTACAGGAATTCATCTGGATCTGTTTTGGTATCAACATTTTCAAGGTCAAGTTTTTTTTAAATGTATCCCAGGTCTTCTAACATGTGACCAGTTTATAAAATCTAGCATCATATACAAATGTTACAGGTAAAATAATTTAGTTCGTTGCATATTGACATGTGCTTTTTGCTCGAAAAGGTGAGCAGAAAGGTTAATGATGGATTCCAGTCAAAAAATCTTCATTTTCACAACTCCAGTGTTACATCATCATCATCATCATCATCATCATCATCATCATCATCATCATCATCATCATCATCTTCTTCTTCCAGGAATGTTTGTTGTCAGTTATTTTCAATGTAGGAAGCACAGATTTGCATTTACTACAAGCAGCACAGACTACACGTCAGTGGATCAGTGTCCTCATCTCTTTTTCATTAACGTCATCATTTATCGTTAAAACAATACACCACATATTTTTAAACTCCCCCAAATGTTTTCTACCAGTGATGACAAAATCATTCATGTGTCTCCAGTGGACTCGTGACTCAGTGTATATGTCTCTCCTGTATGGGTGAGCTTCATACAAGAAGTGATAAACTTTAGGAAAAACAACTTCATACTAAGATCTTTTAGTGAGGAATCTCTAATGTGAGCAAGTGTTGACAAAAGTTGACTTGAGTCATCACTTGCACTTGCAGAGCACACACACACACACACACACACACACACACACACACACACACACACACACACACACACACACACACACACACAGGGGAGGAAGAGTGAGCTGCTAGCCGCCGTAAAACAGATCTGTCACGTCTCATCCTCAGGTTGTTGCTTCTGTCAGTGTCGGAGCCTCTGTGTGAGACACTTCGCTTAGTGATTGTGTGTTTTTAAAACTTATTTCAGGGCTGCAGCTTCACTCTGTCATCACTGTGTGCAGCATCACTGTGTGGTGTAACAGCACCTGGACAGGTGACAGGTGTGTCTAAAGTGTTTGTGCTGCTGAGGCGTTACAGCAGGAAAAGCGGAGAAAATTAGCGTGTGCACCCGGGTGTTGTATTTGGTGCTGATCGGAACCGGAGCAAATAAATACCTGCGTCTACTGCAGGGTCATGTGACCCGGGTGTGAATACCGATTGTTCCCTTTTCCATTGCCTACAAAAGCCTGATGTTGATGGATCTTAGTGGGTTTTTTGACCAGTGGAAAATGTGCTGTAGACACATTAAAGACATGACTTATGACAAATTTCAGTTAAATGTGAGTGTAGAGGACTGAGCACCTTTTATCATTGACTGACATGGTAAATCTGCATGAAGCTGTCACACCGTTATGCTATGGTGCTATGCAAAAGTTAATGTGCACCAAAGTCAGAAACTCACCAGAGACACTTGGATGATGTTTTCATTACATAATTACACCGAGCACAATCTGCCCAACTCTCAAATTCTGCTGCCGAGTTAATTCACTGCATGAACAACTCTAACGACTCGGATCACAGTGGCTCTGGATTCAGGCCGAGTCTTTCCCGCTCTCTGTTATGCAGTGTCTACAACTGTCTGGCTAACGTAGCGTGCAGCAGTACACCCCAACCAAAACACAGTGGTTTACCCAGCGGTGTGTGTGTATGTCTGTGTGTATGTGTGTGTGTGGATGTGAATTAAGTCCAGTTCAATGGTTTAGCGAAGCCACATCCAACCCCCTCAAGGACAATGCCTGTGTCTGTATATATCATTATATATATGTGTGTGTGACTGTGTTTTTGAAACTAGTGTTGGCCTGGGTAGAGCAACATTTCCAGTAAAGTGTCAGAGTGTTGCATGCTGGGATAGAATCTAAAGATGGAGGAAGAAAGACTGTAATTTAACTGGGAGGGGCCCTCCATCTCTGTCTTGTTTATCTATTCATCCTCACATCACTCCATTCGCCTCTATATCTGTCCCTTAATCCTGTCCACCGCTCTCCACATCCCAGCATCCCTCTATTTATTCTAACTCACCCTTTTCTCCTTCACATGCTTTGTCTCTCTCTGCTTTTTTCCATTTCCTACTTTCCTCTCATCTCTTCCAGTGTGTTTGTTCTAGATAGTGGAGGAGAGGAAAAAAGGAAGAGAAATCTGATACATTCAGTCGCTCTGGTCGTCTTCACTTCCAATTGTTCTTGGTGAGGGCTACTTCCTGGCATCCAGATAAACATGTGCAGGGCCAGACGGTGTCAGTCAGCAGTCACGGAGTTTCAAAGCCCGTTCTTAGTGTTCTGCTCCACAACCACTCTTTAAGTGTTATGGATTCTCAGACTACAAGACATTGCAACTTCCATCTCCGTTTCTGTAGGTTTTTAAAATCCAAAATCGAAAAAAATTTAACATCTGAATCATCATCTGGTCAAAAACATCCACAATCCATCTTTCAAACAGTCAGTAATAGCAACACCGTTTTCAAAAATGCTTTGGTGGCTTTGAAATGAAAATCCCATCATATGGGCTGAGGCTATTTGCTGAATCACACTAAACATGGTGGTAATAAAAGACATTAGTGTTGTGGTGTTCAAGTTTCAATCCTTAAAAAAACTATCAATCTACATTGCACCCGCCTCTGAGCGATTCAGCTCGGGTTGATGACGGTGAGTGGAAAACGGTGAGTCGAAATTGACTGCATAGATCTGATACTTGGTGTGTGATGTGACGTTTGTGTTCAGCTCCTTCGCTTCAGAAAACTTCCTGAATGACTGTTTTCAGCAGCTGTATTGGCAGGTGGTGTGTTGAATCAGGTTTGGTTGTTCATCTACAAGTTCATTTTAGAAAATAGAAATTAAAGTCCTTTATGCAGAGATGTTTTAAATGTGCTGGGCCTGGAGACAGTTCCAGTGGTTGATGCTGAATTAGAACAAAGCTTCAGTTTTACGTTCTAACATTCATCCACAAGACAAAACGCTCAGCCCAAACACTGGTGACTTGTGTCTGAGGCTTTGGACCATGAAGCTCCAGCAGACTGGTTCCTGTCTTTAGACACAGCCGTACTCATACCACACAGTCTGGGGGTCGTTGTTGGGGTCAGGGGAAGCCGGCGTGCTTTTCGGGTGTTCAACAGAGCCGCACCTCGCTCTCTCACTTTCTTTCTTTAGGAGGGAGGAGTCACCTGACTGTCCCTCCCGTAACACATCCCCATGCTCCGAGCCTTCGTTGGCCCGTGGGGTGGGCACAGCCCTGACCGGAGATACCATGGCGACCTCTCCACGGTGATGGTAGGAAGAGGAGGAGCACGGGCCGTTCTGAGAGACAGTAGTCCTCCCTCTTTCCCGCTCTGCGTATCTCTCCGTCTGCAGATTGAGAGAGGATGAGTGGTGGATGGGTGGGTTTATGAAGCTGCCATCTCCGAGCTGATTAGTTGGACCAGCCAGACGAGCAGAGAGTGGTCGTTCTCTAGCATTAGCCCCTCCCCCTTGCCGCCGAACCACCACATCTGATTGGCCAGAAGAACCCTCTTTTCCACGAAAACTGTCTGGTCCACTAGAGCGCAGTAGATCAGCTGAGGCCAGGCTGAAGGCCCGGCTCAGGGATTGGCTGGTTCTCTGGGCGAGGGGCTGGCCCGAGGATGGGGATTGGCCAATGGGCTGGCGAGGTGAAGGCTTCACACTCTGGCCTGGCCTCTGGTTGGATGGTTGTACAGTGGGTGTGACATAACTGGTGGGAGTCACCTGATCTCGACTGGTGGGACCAGAGGGGGCGGGGCTTCTGGTGAAATAGTCAGTCATCAAGTCCTCCCTGCTTCCTGTAGACACCTAGACAGAGAACCAAAAAATGGAAAGAATGAATTAGGACAGGAAATAAGAAAAATTTTGCTTTTTTAGGGTGTAGCTAACATCGATTACCTGAATGCTATTCTTTTGCTAAGCACAGCTAAGCACAGCTACATAATAACACATCAAATACTTAAAGTATATTTTATATGGGTTATTTCTATGGACTTGGTAATTAGGTGTATCACAGTATGCACAGTTAACTAATTGTGGCTAAGTTTGGGCAACGTTCTACTCTTACAATATACAAAGCCTCTAAATTAACTTGTTAAACTTTAATTGCCTTGCTGGGATTTGAAAGGCAGGTCAAAAACTGTTCTTAGCAATTATCATCTTATGACTTTTCCACAGTAAATAAATTATCTGGCTCGACCTCTGGCTTGACCTCTTCTAAATAACTGATTCTGGAAATGGAGGACTGGAGAATCAAAATGAACAGTGCTCTTAGCTTGAAATTTCCACATTCAATAGACATTGAGAAATGGCAGTTAGGGGAAATGTGGAAGTCGAAACAAGATCTTGTAGACTTTTGGGCAAAACTGCACATCTGCGGGGTGTCGAGTAGCTCAGTTGGTTGAGCATCCGCCCCATACGCAGAGGCTAAGGTCCTCGCTGCGGTTCGAGTCCCGCATCGGACTGCATGTCATTCCCCCTCTCTCTGCCTCCCCATTTCCTGTCTCTCTACTGTACTGTCAATAAAGGGCATAAAAGGCCCAAAAAAATAATTAAAAAAAAAAAAAACTGCACATCTGCTGGACAGAAAGGACCTTCAGGAAGGTGTAGCTGACACAGGAGATGGTGCATCCTCTCACCGAGCAGCGTTATTTTCACAAACAGGGTCTATGTAGCGTCATCAGAAGTAAAACTTACCTGTGACCCCATCACAAAAATCAACATCTGGAGTCTAAAAAGCAACATCTGGATAAACCAGAGTCATTTTGGAAACGTGCTGTCGACAGATGAAGTCAAAACTTGCCTAAGAAAATAAGACTAGGTCATAACCTAGTGACGTAGGTGACTCTTTTCTATGGAAAGTAGGTAAGGTTTGTATGAAAAGTTGCCAGATTTGTTGCTGGGTGATTTTTTGAAAAAAGGTCTCTACATCTAGCAACAAATGCGCCACGTTGGCAGCTCTGCGGGCTGTAAATGCCCCTTAATACAAACTGTTTGTGCCAATTTTATTTTGAGCAACGGCCAATGGGAAAACTCCAGCATTCAGACGGCCGACCAATGGTGTACCTTGATCATTCAACTCCATCACTCACTACGCCTGTTCTTGATTTAGGAATTTTTTGACTGACTGAGTGACTGACTGACTCTTAGCTGACTAGAAAAAGCATTTGTAAGCTATGAGATCTGCCAAGGGGAGGGTTGCTAAGTACTGACTATACGTCACTTAGCTGAGGACAGTGGTTTTGACTCTGTGTGACCTTTCATCTCAAGTGACCGTGTATCTAATTCCATTTCACTTCATATCTACATGTAGCATATTTTACTTATTAATTCTGTCTATCTGTTCTGCACTTTGTGAGCAAGCGTGATTTAAATGATTATTTCTGATGGAATGAAATCATGTGTGTCTAGTCTACAGTATTAATCACATTCATTAATTCTTTTGATTTAACAATGGTATCGTTATCTGAATCATCCTGTGTTCCATATTTTTGTCATGGGAATGTGTTTTTGAAGGCCTCCTCTTTTGTACAGGATCATCAATAACAATTATTAGGGGTGTTGAAATTCTTTTAGTAAGACTGGGTATCTGATGATTTCACACTCTGGCTCTCTGAGTAAATATTTAGGTGACAGGGTGGGCTGAAATAGCTGATTTGTAGGCAGGAGAAAAATCCCATAACAGATTAGAGGTGATAAGAAGCACTTCTCACAAAATTGGATATGACTTGTAAGTGAGTGTCTGTTGCTCATCTGGAAATGATCAGTAATTTCCCTTTCTGGCCACCTATGATAAGCAGATTAACCTGCGTTCATTAATAATGATGAGAGGCCAGCATAAATCAACTGTGCAACTCTATAATAAGACAAGATATGCTATCTAACAGAACATGTGTCACAGTTCCTTTCTTCATGTGATGTGCAATATGTTTCAGAATCAATACCAAAACATTTTAGAATTGGATTGGTTTCAAATAAAAGAATGAGACGACTGTTTGTGGAGTTAATACACACCTCCCGTTTCTCCATTAGAAAACCTCACTTTCTTTTTTATTATCTACATTGAAAAAAGTCAAATAACATGTCCTTGGATGGTCTCTGCAGCCATGCTATTGGTTTTGTTGACACTACTCTGAACTTGCAGTACAAAAAGTCAATCAAGGAAAACATCATTTTCCGTTCTTCTCTCATGACTGTGGTGAGTCATCTTTCTCCTTGATGAATCTTCTGCTTCATCTCAGAGCCAAACAAAAGCTTAAATCCATGGTAATATTTCTAAAGTTGCTTCCCCCAATCTGCAAAATGATCACTCAAAAAAGTCACTTTTACTCAGGGACAGATTCAGAGCATTAAGTGAAATGATCAACAGAAGCTGGCAAACAAGACAAACCCACTGCCAGGCAACTTACTGCCTCTGTTGTAACATAAACCTCAATCCATTACAAATGTTGAATGGTTCTTTTAAATGGTGTTGTTTACTGGGTGCTCCAGAATCAGCCCTTCAGCTTCAATGATTACAACTTGTAGTTTTTCTTTGTAGTTGTTTACAAGTGTTGATGAGGCTGATCTAAAGTGTGCATGTCTTTAAGGCCGAGTCAGAGCGACTCTATAACCTTGAATTGAATTTTTCTGGTTTGTTAAAGCTGTTTCTGGCGGTAGACCTGTCTGAAATCACCTCCAGCTGGGCTTAAAACCAGCCTCAAATGCCATCAAGTAATGCTTCATGATTAAAAACCCATTCTGCTGTGTTCTTGTAAGGAGACTAACATGTTATTTTAAATACTACAACTGATTTTCTCAGAAAGTGCAATATATTATTTTCTCTGACTGCCCCCTCTGTAGAAAATCAAAGACCAAGGGTTACACACATATGTTTCTTACCATAGGAGGTGACTGTATGTTGCTCTCTTGTAGAAACTGTTCCAGCGTCACCATCTCACTTCCAGGTGAAGATGGGCGAGTCTTAGTCCTGACTCCGCCTCCACGCTGTGGTTGGGCCCTCTGGGGTGTGTGGTCATACGGGAGGGTGGAGCTACGTGACAGAGTCTGCTGTGAACGGCTGAGACCCGTGACATCATCACTCGAGAGGCTGGCTGAGTGAGCATGACAATCTATTGTGTCTAAAACAGATGAAAAACATTAGTGTTATTACCAACTGAATCTGGGAACCAGCTGATTACACCAGGGTTTTACTGTATGTGAGACCTGAATGAACTGTATATAAACTGAGTCACTTGGGAATAACGTTTGTCAGTAATAAACGATAGCATTATTCATTGAAGGATGTTATCTCTATTTTTCTAATACTACATCAGATCCCTCTCATGTTTTACTGGAAGAACAGAAGAACAGAAGATTTAGAGTCCCACAGGTCAGACTGAACAGACCGCAGAACTCTTTTGTTCCTCGGTCTGTCAACCTGTTAAATATGAGTTAGAGTTCAGGTTCTAAGTAGGCCTCAGTGCTCCAAACCAAGCACAGAATGTAAAATTGAGTGATTAAATTGACGTTACTGCAGTTACTTATTTGTAAAGTCTGATGTAATATATGTTTTTAGTATTTGTCTTGTTTCTGGTTAAATGTTATGTGTGTGCTGCACTCAGGTTCTGTAAGCGGCACAACAGCACAACAGACTTACTTGCTGTCAAATTTGCCTTTTGCCTCATGGTGTTAGAACTCGGATATTATATACTGTTGCCTGTGTAACCCCTCTTTGCCTAAAGAGGTCACAGGTATTAATGTTTAGTTTCAGTTTCAGTTCTGTTTGGACCAGTTTCAGAAGTCTAAAGTAACGCTCATGGAGCCCAGTGTGGAACACCAACATTGAACACACTCACACGTCTGTTAGTTTTCAATTTTATATTGTTAGTCATCAACAACGAAAACCTATGACAACAATTTTTAATGCAATATGAAAAATAACAAACAGCAAAAAAAAAGAAAATAAAAATTTGTGTTGTGTTCAGTTTGTATTGTCTTTTCTTTCTTTGTTATGAGCTCAGTGTTTTTATTTCGTTGGGGCCCTTTAATCTTTGTGTTTTCACTGTCCTACCACACCGCAGGTTTTGGAGGTAAGTTCAGTTGTGCTGCCGCATTCCTCGGTTCTGGCTCGCCATCTGGTTCTTCGGATCCGATGATCCAACCGGTGTCTGGAAGCCGCCTGATGGCTATCCAGTGCTGGTAATGGTATCCTCTCTCTATAGTCGACTACTGGTGTCGCTGACGTCTTCTCTTTCAACATCAATGTCACCGAATCAAATCTCCACAAAAAAACCTGACCGCCGAACTTGTATCATCAACCGTGAACTCTGTGGGTTCGACTCGCGGTGAATTCCGTCTATTTCACTCTGTTTTAACCACTTCTGGATATTTTTCTCAGGCAGAGCCTTCCTCATGCAGCCGGACGGTGCAGCTTCTCGTTCCGATCTAACTATCTCCCAGAGCGCTGTGCGCAACTGCAACGCAATTGATCCGTGACGTCCTGACGCACTGCTCTCTCTGTACGGCGGAGTTAACCCTATAAATGCCAGCTATCTCTCTCTCACTCATTCACACTAAATAAACTGACTTTTTACCCCCTTTCCTGTTAGTTTTATCACAGCTTATGAAGCCTGGGCTACACCTGCAGCTACATTTTTGTTTACCACTACCTATTTTGTATTTGATGGTCTCTTTATGCCAACGTCTTTTCCTGTTTCTCTCTGCTACGGGAGGGAGGGAGGGACGGAGGGGATGCTTGTGTACAATTCTTTGTGTTATGTTGGAAAAATTGTTCTAAAAAAGTATCGTGTGAAACGGTGTATGCCTTGACAAATTTTAGAAAGCACTTTGACAATAAACTGAAATCAAATCTGCAAATTTATGAAGTATCAATGCAAATATCCTTTTAAATAAATATTGCTTTAAGCGGATGTACCTCTGCAGTTGACAGGTGAATTGGAGCTGGAGGTGTTGTGGCTGAAGTCTGCTGATCCTGGACGACCTCCCTTGTTTCCATGGTGACCAAACATGGAGTCAGAGGTATTGTGGCAAGAGTCTTCATCAAATAACAGACCTGAAATACAAACAGTCTTAACACTTTCCAAACACACTTACTCTCTTGCTGACATCTGAATAAGGTCCGATGTATCAATAGCTCAGCCTACCTCTGGGCCTGCGGCCGGGGCCCTGTCCCATTCTGGAGCTAGAGTTGTTAATTAGGCCCAATGAGGATGACTGATGGCTTGGAGTGGAGCTCAAAGCTTTATGGTTCTGACCTGGGATTAAAAAACAGAGGAAAAACAACCAATTAATATAGAACCGTTCATTCAAAGTTGAAGAAAATCAAAGTTAAGACCAACTGCCTGAACTCATCCCTCTTACGAAGCAGATGTTTCTTAATCTTCTCCTCTTTTCATTTCACTGTCTCCCTTTTATTTTGAGAAGCCAGAAGCGTAAAAGGGAACAACAGCAACTGACAAATATGCAGAGATTAATTAAATTTACATATAACTGTACTCAGTGTCATAATACTCTGTTAATTAGCCCTTTGGAGTGTAATTTTCCATAAATATTATTATCATTAATCATTAACGTATTAATTACCTTGCCCATGTCCATCTTCTCCATTGACACTCTCACTGCTGCCTCCTGGAGTGCTGCTGCGATAAACTCCCCGGCCCCTGTCAGTCAAACCTGCAGACCAATAAGACTGTGATGAAGGACTGCTGTGGGGCTTTAACCATAGTGTAAGTATGAGATATAAAACCACAGGAAACACAGTGCAGTGAGCGCGCAGGTATGAATAGTAATCTGTTATTATTCAGTGTACGTCTCTGATTCTGATCAATATTAGTGTTAATAGATTTTAGACTAGATTCCATCCAAGCATGCTCAAATACTTTACTTTTCTTATCACCATCATGGAAGAGGGATCACTGTGAAGGACAGAGCTGCCTCTACAATTCATCATCTAAATTGCAAGCCAATGAAGGTGTGAACATGGATGCATTGAACAGTAACGCAGCATCACTGATGCAAGATACTGAGCTTTTAAATTCAAGTGATGGTTTCCATGTATTTCTAGAAGTCAAGAAAAAATATCTGAACCAACCACTGAAACCCTGTAAATCTAATAAAATATTCAAATCAAAAGCTGCATTCTTCAGTTTCACATTGATGGCAGCAACAGGTACAGTTAAATTTTTCGCTATATATACTGTACATGTATCACTCTCTTAAAAGACGGTCTAGTGTTTTGTTACACTTCACATGATTTGAAGTGAGACTATATAACTGTTGCTGGACAGCAGTTGTAAAAGGTAGCAGTAAAAATTGCCATTACATTGTCATTAGCCACCACAAGCTTAGAAATGCTAATATCAGCATTAAAAAACTGATGTTTAAAAACCCACATAAGCTCATGGTGCTGGAAAAGAGAGAGGGAGGGTAGAAGATGAGTTATGGCAGCAGGCAGACAGTCATGTTGGACACGGAGGCGGTGGGTGACAAGTGTGCAGCAGTTGGTTGCTGTGGGGACCTGACATTGGTGGAAAAGCTCTGGAGTAAAGCCTTGTGAAGCAGACAGCTCCACACTGCATTCACTAAGTATTCAGACCCCTTCTCTTTTTAACATTTTGTTTTGTTGCAGCCTTGTGCTAAAATTATTTAAATCAATTGCCCCCCTCATTAATCTACACTCAATCCTCCATAATGACAAAAACAGAATTATAGAGATTTTTGCAAATGTATTAAAAAGGACAAACTGAAATTTCACACTGACATAATTCAGACACTTTACTCAGAACTCAGTTGAAGAACCTTCGGCAGTGATCGCAGCCTCCGGTCCTCTCAGTGACGTGACAAGTTTGCACATCTGGATTTGGGGATTTTCAGCTGTTCTTCTCTGCAGATCCTCTAAAGCTCTGTGAGGCTGGATGAGGACACATGTTCAGGTCTCTCCAGAGATGTTAGATTTGGGTTCAGGTCAGGAGTCTGGGACATTCACAGTTGTCTCTAAGCCCCTCCTGCATTGTGCTTCAGGTCACTGTCCTGTTGGAAGGTGAACCTTCAGCCCAGTCTGAGGTCCTGAGCTCTGGACCAGGTTTACATCTCTGTACTTTGCTCCATTCAGTTTTCCCTCAGCCCTGACCAGTCTCCCTGTTCCTGTTGGACAGGTGATGAACAGTGTCCTGCTTCCTCCAGACATGAAGCCTAGAACTGAGGCCAACCAGTTAAATCTTGGCTTCATCACCAGAAATTCTTGTTTCTCACAGTCTGAGAGTCCTGTAGGTGTTTTCATGCGTCTTTCACTGAGGAGAGGCTTCTGACTGGTCACTCTGTAATAAGGCTCAGATCGGTGCTGCAGTGATGGTTGTCTCTCATCTCTACACAGGATCTCTGAGTCTCAGCCAGAGTGATCATCAGGTTCCCAGTCACCTCTCTTATCATGGACCCTCTCCCGACTGTTCAGTTTGGCTGAGAAACCAGCTCTAGAAGAGTCCTGGTTGTTCCAGACATCTTCATGTCAGAATGATGGAGACCACTGTTCTTCTCAGGAACCTTCAATGCAGCAGAAATGTTTTTGAGCCTCGACACAGTCCTGTCTCTGTGGTCTGCAGCAGTTCCTTCCTCCTCATGGTTTCTGCTCTGATCTGCATTGTCAGCTGTGAGATCTTATATAGACTGGTGTGTGTCTTTCCACATAATGCCCAAACAATTGAATCAAGTATCATAGTAAAGAGTTTTTATATTTTTCTATATTTCAGTTTTTCTAAAATTCTGTTTTTGATTTGTCATTATGGGATACTGATTGTAGAAAATGAATTTTCATCATCAAGCATGAGGCTGTAAAAAGTGAAGGGGTCTGAACAAGTTTTGAATGCACTGCATCTTTAAGCAGAGACAAACTCACAAACACAGATTTCATTCATACAAATCAAAAACAAAGAACTGCAGATATATGAAGGCAAGCCTGGCTGGAAACAGGAGTCTGTGCACAAACTCACACACACACATAAACCATGTCTACACACACTACTTACTAGTAATACTGGTTGGCTCGCAACAGCAACATGCACCTGTTTGTGTTCTGTATGTTTATTAGTCCTGAGGAGTGTGCAATGTTTGCATATATTAGTGTTCATGAAGAGAGTGCACGGATGATATGTGTGAAATCCTGAACAACAGTGGGTGCTGGGGGCGACAGTGACGATGATGATGATGATGTGTTGATTAGAAATGATGAGGAGGAGGGAGGAAGATGTTAGAAAACTCCATTGGCTGACATTGACTGGCTAGTGATGACGTCAGCTGTGATGTCAGAGGAAGACCAAAATCGCAGTCGTCTGTTGAGAGAGAAGGAGAGGCGAGAGGAGGAGGAGGAGGAGGAAGAAGGGGGGGATAAGGGGAGGAGCTTGTCTTGACTTTTACTGCGGAGAAAAGAGAAGCGTTTTGGGGCAGGAGGAGCTGAGTGGGAGAGAAATGGACAGAGATGTGGAGAAATGTAGAGAGAATGATAAATAATGACAGTGAGTAAAATAGTTGGTTAAGAAGTTATAAAGTAAATGACTGTCAGGATGTAAAATAACAGAGGCCATGCAAGAGAACCCACTAGAACAAAACAAGAACATGGAATTCTGTTGTTAAGTAAAATCATGCATCAGACCCAGGACTGAGATCAACTCACTCTGATTTGAGCAAAGTGTGACGACTGGCAGAAAGCTCAGTGCACAGGAAACAACAGATAAACACAACAGAGACACACACTCAGATGTCAGTTTATTAGGAACACCTGGCTCAAACTAATGCAGTCTAAAATGACAGTGCTGTAATAAAGCCTCCTTCATGAGGGCTCATTCCGAGAGGTGTCGATTCAACTGTGCGAGCATTATACATCATTATCATATCGTATTACATTATACAGAGGCGTTTCTGTTATTTAGCCTACCCTCATTGATATTACTGGGGTGGACAAAATAATAGAAACACCCGTCTGATTGATTAACACAATGCAACTTGAGCAGCACCACAAACTGCAGAACATAAAGTTGAATCAACACTTCTCTACAGCAGTTTCAACCAGAACTGAGCGTTATAACCTCCATGGAGGAGGATTCATTGCAGGAATGTTGTTTAGTTTTGTTCCTAATAAACTGCCAGCTGAGTGTATGTAGCTGTACAATAGAGCAATTGGAAAGTTTTATTGTTTCAACTTTTTCCCTTAAGTTAGTTGAGTATGACAACTTCCACATGCCGGTGGACAAAGGCTTTTAAGCCACTTGTTGTTGAACTGAGAGTGATTTGAGCTGAGCCATGAGCAGAAGAGTAGAGCAGTTAAACAGAAAACCCATGGAAATAAAAACAGGACCATGCATTAGAACCCAGTTCTACTATTAGGATAGATTGATGAAAAGTATAGCTAGAGTGTAAGCAATGTCTAACACGTCTCGTCATAACTCGGATTAGAGGTAGACCAGTTTCACGATATATCGTAGTGAAACACCAACAATTTCTGTTACTGTCACGGCTGTGACTTCATAATCTGCAATCTCCATAATCTGTTCATCTAAACCAGGGGTCTCCAACAGATGGCTACCAGGAGCTCACCCAAAGGTTCAGAGGATATAGTCTGTACAAACCGTGGATGTATAGTTCAAACTTCAACACAACTTCACTCAGTAGATCTGCTCCAAACAAAGACACTCCCTCCTCTTCAACACCAGATCATTATCTGTCAGTTGTCAGTAACATGAGTTACTTTCTGGTTTGTTGGCAACATGCAACGATAACTCGTCTGATAACAGAACAGATATAAACGACAAAAAGGAAATGTGCTGCCACAGATAAAGTGAGTTAAATGAAGTGTAGTGAATTCTCTATTTTAAGTTCATGTTTGTTGTGTACCATACTAACAACAACTATCACTGACTGAGGAGCTGATTTATAAACAGATTTAAGGAGGTTTATTTGTAGTGACGTTCTCATGTCTGTGTGTTCAGGTCTAACTGAATCATGACTCACATTTTTGTCTCATGTGAGTTTCACATTTTTGGTGATATCCAATGTGAGTTTGGATATTGATATTTGATGACTTGTTAAATTATCTGATTCATCTGATTTCAGTTTGAGTGTATTGATCCGATATGTGAATAAATGTAACCAGTAATATAAGACACGAGGGGCTCTCAGCCAATTTTATTTTGTCGAAGTAGCTCACAGAGTAAAAAAGGTTGGAGACCCCTGATCTAAACCAACTATTTTTGTCTCCTCTCTGTTCTCACTGGAATTTCAGTATGCTCGACAGTTGTGTTGAGACAAAAATAAATGTCTATCACTGCGGTCTGGGAGGAATTTTTGTTGCCATGTCGGATTGCTATTATTGCAGTTATTGTTAAAGTGCAGCTGTCCTCTCTTTGTCTCACACTAAAAACATGACAGTCAGTGATGTCCATACATGAACCATGTTTCATGTTTGAAGAACTCTCGGGATGAAGTGTAAAAGTCTCATGATGACTATACAAAGCCAAGGCACACAGGCACTGAGCGCTGCACATAAAGTTGTTGACACTAAATCTAGAGATCCATTTAGGGACTGATATTAATTTTGTTGCCCAGACATAGGAAAAGATCAGTTTTAAGAAAAAGTTGGAGAAATGTATCTAAAGTGATTGATTAATAATGTTTTTTTTTCCTTTTTTGTTTGGCTAAAGTGAAAACATGATAATAATGATAATGGAAATATGTGTGAATTCACCTTTGAAAGAAGATTTTTTGTACTGTTTGTGTAAATACATACATTTAATTAGCATGCCTGTCAAAAATTTAAAATTAGAACTAATAGTCAAAACAAACTTTCACATGGGCTGTTAGTTCAGATAATGCCTGAAAATGCAAATGTAAAATAAATATATCTGAAAAGTTCCTGATGTTCGGTCAGAACAGATCAGAAACCTGAAGAACAGGTTAGACAGTTAAAAACGGACAGAGTGGATGTTAACAGTGGTGAGAAACAGAGGTGTAAAGTTATTGTCAGTCATCCAGTCACTAATATGGTCAACAGCGCCCTGTGCAGGCTCAACATGGAGGTGCACCTCATCCAAAGTCCTGTTTATGTCATCAGCTTTGTGGCTAAACTATAATTAAAATGTTTTTAATAGATGCTGTATGTATTTCACAATAATAGACTTTGTTTATACAGTTTTTAGCTCTACCATAACCCATAAAGAGAAGAAACCAGAGACACTGGTTTCTCCACCAGTGTCAATATGGAACAAATATTTATTCTGAATGTGTCTTTATCAAGTTAAATTTTCCTCAGATTAAAATGATCCACCTGCAGACAAAACTTTAACAAGACTGTGTGTGCAGTGTGTTTACCTCGGCTGATGGGAGTCAGTGCTGGACTCTGGGGTCCCAGGCTTGGGCTGGTGATTAGGTTGTTATGGTTACTGTGAGCGTGGCCACCATCTTGCGAGTCACTTCCCGTCCGCTGGGGGAGAGGGGGAGGTGTCTCAGGGGGGAGGAGTGGGGGCGGGGCCGGTAGGGGAATGTCAGGGGCACTCTTTGCCCGTTCTCTCTCCTTGCCCCCGTCTTTGTCTCGGTCGCCCCCTCTCTCCCTGCTGCTCTCCTTTCGGGGTTTAATCAGTTTGGCTAAAGCTTTGGCTCCAGACCACTGACTCCTCCTGACAACACACAACAACATTATCTGCTATATAGTAACCATCAATATGCGTATTTACAGTTATGGTAATAATTAATAGTTAGAGTAAAAAAAATACTTAACAAATATTCCATATTTCATGCAGGCTTGGTGAAAAATGTTAATCACAATCTTTTTTTTCACATAAGTTGATACTGATATCAAGTCAATATTTCTGTTGAGCTTGAAAACTTTCAAACTTAAAATTCCATAGTGGTAGAATGTGAACAATGACTGAAAATCTATTTAAATACAGAAAATACTGTATTCAAAAATAAAAATCTTAAATCCTGTCAGTATAAATCATTAAAAATCTTGCAGTATAAAAAGTTTGCTGCATGTTTCTAAATCACATTCATCAGCTTGAATTCCATATGTTTGGCTTTGCAGATCAGTACAATCTATGATCAGTACCATGTCTTGTGCAATACAAAAGAAGCAACAGCATGATGGGATACTAGTGTCTGTTGATTTGTTTGTTATAGGATATAAAGCTGGAAGAAGCTTCTTTTTTCTCTGTTCAGTTAAACGGGTCAAACTGCTGCTGTTAGAATCAATTGTGCTGCGCCATGTGCTCTGTATCTGTCTGACTTTTGATGCCATTACAAAAGCAAAAGCAAAAACTCAAACACTGGCATATGCTTGGTTAGAAATAGCTTCATTCCTGTGATGTGATCGACTGTTCGTAGGTTGCCATGTAACTCTTCCCTGACTCAATAAACACATCACCTCTGTTGCTAAAAACAGCTCCTATCACTTAAGAACTATTTCCAAACTTAAACCGATTCTGTCCTTCCCTGATGGAGAAAGTAATCCACGTCTTTATCAAAACTCCACTGGACTACTGTAATTCTTTGTATTCAGGCATTTTCCACTCTTCATTATCTCACTTACAGTTGGTCCAGAACGCAGCTGAAGGATGTTGACTGGCACAAAAAAATTGCGAGCACATCACCCCCCGTATTACCTGGCTCCATATTAAGTCTAGAATTTAGTTTAAGACCTTGTTGAGGCTCTTAATAGATCAGGCCCCACCTCACATCACAGATCTCATCTATTGGCACTCATGATTTTACTACATTTGTTCTACTTGCTTTTATTTATTTAACTGTCCTTTGTACAGAAGTTTGTTCAGCTCAAGCTGTGTTTAATGTGCTCTAGAAATAAAGTTGACTTGACTAATAAAACCCTTATCGTCATATCATTAAAAACCACATACTGAGATAAGTGAAGAGTGTATATTTGTTCTATAAGGTGCTGTTAATGATGTATTACTTTTTAGGTGTAGGGTCGTAGAACTTGTACTGGTCCATGATCTTCTCCTCTAGTTTCTCTTTTTGCCGACGAAGAGAGTTCAGCTTATCACTAATTAGAGAGAGAGAGAGGCAGAGAGAAAGAAGGAGAGAAAGTGAGAAAAACATCATTCAAATTTACAGTATTGTTCTTTCTGAATCTTTTGTTAAACTGTTTGGATATATATGTATCTATATATAACTCTCTCTCTCTCTCTACATATATATTTTCTGACAGCATTTCTAGACAGTAGTGTAGATGGTAGTTTGTGTTGCATTGTGTGCAGTTACATGTATAGTTTCTGTTCCTGGTGATACAACTCTTTGCTCTCCATGCTCCTCTCCAGCAGAGTGTGGTTCTGCTGACTTAGCAGGTTGATCTGACTAAGGAGGTGGTGGTTCTCCTCCTCCAGGTTCCCTTTCAGTCGACTCAGCAGCTGCACACATACACACACAGAGTCAGGTCAGGAAAGTAGTAAATAGATAGTGATCCAGAGCTGATGAGTTTGAAGTCAAACACAGCTCTGCTTGTTTCTCCCCGCTGCCTCGTGTGTTTACCTCACAGTGGTTGTCTAGTTTGGTCATGGTCAGGTCCAGGCCCTGGTGTTGCTCCATTAGTGAATCATATTGTGCCATCAATTGAGTCACTTCCTGCTGGGCAGAGCTTAATGAGCCCTTGAGTTCATTCACGCGCTGCTGGAGCCCTTCACTGTGCTCTGAGTGCTGTGATTGGCTCTCTGTCAATCTACAGGGGGAATAGACAAAGTCAAAAAGAGGGGACAGAAATGAGAAAAGTCAAGGATCAACTCATGTAGTCTTAAAATCAGTAGTTCTATGTGCTCCCAGATTCCTCTAACCTTAACCACACTATGGCTACACTGTACCTGAACCTGTCAATGCGTATACCTCAAGAAAATAACTTCTAAGTTGTTTTGGACCTGATACTGGACTAATATTCATTCACCAGCCAGGATCAGATTACATGATTTAGGGATGCCGTGATTGATCAGCCGCTGATTATTAACGGCTGATTTTCATTAAAAATATGTGATAGTTAGATGGGAATTAATGCTTCTAGTCACCAATCACCTTAAAACCGATCAACTGTGGTTAATACTCTGCTGTCTGCGGCTGAGAGAAGCACTGTGTGCTGTGGAGTGGAGTCCTGCCTGGTATGCGACAGGACACCAAAACAAAACAACATGTTAGCCGTGTGGAACTTTTACAAAGTGTGTGAGACTGATATAATGTATGCCATCTGGAATGTCTGCCAAAGATGATCGGGATCGCACAGTATCTCACTCATGGGTGATCGGTACCAGTGGCAAAAAAATGTGATCGCCGCATCCCTAACATGATATTTTTCCAGCACATACAGTGCTTGGACCCTAATAGTAAAGTTTAGTTGTATATCACCTTTCAAAAACAATGTCACAAAGTGCTCTACAGAACATGAGACAGATATCAAGGGCGCAGCATATAAAAGATGTCATATGAAAACATTAAAAGGCTAACTGATAAACTGAGATTTTGTAAGTGCTTTAAAAGAAGATAGTGGTCACTCCAGTGCTTAGGTGTTCCAACAGCAGAGCTACAATCCCCTCTAGTCTTAAATATGACGGTGCGACTGCGTGTGAAAATACGATACCTGTTCACTTCTGTTTTTAGCTCTCGGTTCTCTTGCTGTAGCAGACGATTCTTCTGGATCTCCTGGTTTAGTTCCTCCTTCTCTTTCTGGCCACGCCCCTCCTGCTCCTCCCATTTCTCCTTCTGCTGCAGCAAAATACAATACCTGCACAAAGAAAGACAGACAGACAGACAGACAGACAGTCAGGGCACAGGGGTTATCACAGGGTTGTCTACTTGACAGTGTTTATAATTACATCTTGAGCAAGCCTCATGGTTGTGTGCGATTACTCTGTTTACATGAACTTGTGACTCCATGCATCTGTGTTACAGACTGTACAGTAGAAGTCTAAGGAAATTCTGTTGTGCACTATAATGTAGTTACTCTGAGACAAAGTAGATTGCTTATCTACTATAACTATACTATACTATAGCTATTAATTAAAACACAGTGCAAGTAAAGGCTAAATTTAGTTATGACAAAAACATCGATTTACGGCTACTAAACACCAGCTTATGTCTCTGCTGAGACAATGGTACATATTAGTTAAAGTAAGTAAATACTACTTACTTTTTTAAACATTTCTTAACAAGTAGGAGCACAGCATCTTCTGTACAGAGCTCTATATTCATTTGAGCTTCTTTCATTAAAAACTGTTGAAATGCCTTTAAAGCAACAGTTTATTTGTCATGTGACTACAACACAAAGTTTCTATCACTAAGACATAAGTAGCATTAACACATTACACATCTTTGCCAGGAGCAACAGCATGAACAGTGCTGTTTTCATCTTGTGAGTCTGTATAAAATGGACTGCACTTATACAGCACTTTTCTAGTTTCTTATCAACCACTCAAAGCACTTTACACTACAAACCACATTCACCCATTGTAAAAATGTACTGATGATAATTGATGGCCGTCGCAGCTGGTGTGATCCCATTGTGAGATGTTCTCTATTCCTCACCCACAATGTCCTGGTCATGCGTTTACCTGCGAGCTGAGGTTTATCAAAGACCCTGCATCTCAACACTGTCAGCTGGGTTTGTACGGTATGAACTTACTTGCTGTGCAGCGTCCTGTGTTCGCTCTCTACCGCCCTCTGTTTGCACTTCAGTGCAGCGTGTTGACTGATCAACTGCTCGTACTCGTGAGCTTGCCTCTCATGAACGCTCAACAGGCGGTCGTGGTCGCTGAGCACACTCTCTCGACCTCGCCACGCCTCCTCACGCTGTCGCTGCCATGACTCTACCTCAGTCTCCAAGGCAGTGACTTGGCCCTGCAGTACTGCATTCTGGGCCATGAGAGATGCACTCTGAGACGAGAGTGTGGAGTTCTCCACCTGAGAAATCCATTAGAAATCATTAGAAATCAAGAGCTTAAAAAAACAAACTGAATTTTTCTCAAATTTGTCTGAATGACGGACTTCATACCTGCACTTTAGCGGTCTGTGTGTGTAAGGCTGAATTCTGTTCCTGCAGGGTGGTGATGTGTCGCTGCAGCGACACCATCTGGTTGTTAAGAGAAGTGTTCTGGTTCTCCAGCTGTTTGAGCTGCTCCTTCAACAGACTGCTCTCTGTCTGCAGGGAGGCGTTCTGGACAAAATAATGATGCCATAAACATTTATTGGGAGAACATTCAAGTATGAACGGGAGCATTTCTGTAGCATTAGGACACAGATAATATATAATGTAATACTATTAAATAAAGAGAAGTATGTACCATTAACACAACCATCAAATATAGCAGCAGGTCAAATGAAGTAGAAATGTAAAAATAATGTAAGTATTTATAGTAAAGTATTTAAGCACTGATGTATTTTATTCAGGGGTTAAAGATGTATCTCTTACATTCTTTTCTACATCAATAAGATGATCTTTGATTCGTAGAAGCTCAGCAGTGGCTGACCCTTGACCCCGGCTGCCACTTGAGTGCTGCTGGTAGTGGTTTTCTTCCTCCTCCTGTTCCTGCCTCAGGGCAGTCTTATGAACCTATATATACATAAATATATATTATTTATATATATTTTAACACACTCTAAAACACAAAGCATTCCAACATAAAGAACTCATAATCAACATGGCAGAATAATGCTGTTAACACAATGTTTTTCTTTCACAATAAGACATTAGACATTACTCGATTACACAGTGTCATTATCATTATTTGATCTTTAAAATAACTAATTAATGAAGTAAGAAGCTTCACTACAAATATTTTAATTGCCAAGGACTTTGTGACAAATAAATAATGTTGTTGTGATTGGTCTGGTTTTAGAGGCAGAGAAAAGAGAGAGAGAGAGAGAGAGAGAGAGAGAGAGAGAGAGAGAGAGAGAGAGAGAGAGCATGTATGTGGTCAACAGGGGAGGTAGAGACAGATATGCACTTCCTCCTCCACTGTGACAAGTTCTCTCCAGTGAGAGACCTCCACTACAGGGAATTATCCAAGAAGATACCAAACTTCCAGATGTTAACCCCAGAGGACAAACTATCAGTTCTCCTGGGTGAAAGACCAGCAGCTCCTCTAACAGCTAAATATGTCTCTGCCGGACACAGCCTGAGAGACTCACAACACTACACATCCATATGATGTTAAGTGATTGTATCTAATAATTGATGTATTTTAATATTCTGCAAACTCATTCACATTAACATTTTTGTTCATACCAATAAAGCTATTTGAATTAAAATTGAATTTAAAGAGAGAGGGAGAGAGAGTGGGAGAGAGAGTGGGAGAGAGAGTGAAAGAGCGAGAGAGAGGAAAAGAGAGAGAGAGCGAGAGAGTGAGAGAGAGGCGGGCAATGATGATATTGTGACATGCTGCCACAAATAAATCAATGTACGAGAAACAGTATGTTGAACTGCTGAAGCCATTTTTGGACAAGCGAACTACCTTCAGCTCAACTGTTTGGTGGAGCCTTTGAATCAATCAGTGGGAGTGAGCCTCTTAGTTTCTCATTAACTTGCTCTTACATTACATTGCATTTGTTCGTCAGTGTAACAATACAAGCTGTTTATTTCTTTCTTTATATTCTAATCTAGAGAACAGACTGGGAGAAGGCGGGGCATGTGTGTCCTTACAGTGACCAGCTCGGCGCGCAGGGTAGTATTGAGTGTGTTGCTCTCCTCCAGCTTCTTTTCCAGGGTGGAGATTTTCTCCTCCTTAATCTTCATTGTCTGTTGGACAGTTTCCTCCAGCCGAGACTCCAGCAGCCTGTACCGGCTGACATCCACAAACAACAGACATCAGTCAATCAGTGAATTACACATCTATTCATTCAGCAGATGTACTGCTGAAGTATTTTGGATGAGTGGTTCTCAAGAAAGCTTCAAACATCGCTTTTTACAGAAAAAATGAAATCAGATGAGCGCCATAAACAATGACATAAAATAATTCAAAATCTGCATAAAGAGAAAGATACCTATCCTCCTGTGTGTATTCTTGTTGCAGTAGTTTCTCTCTGTTCAGTCCGATCTTCTCCAGCTCTTCATTGAGTCTCTCCAACTTGACACTCTGTTGTTGAACACTCAGCTTCTCCGACACCAACTCCTGCACACACAAAAATGTGTGGTACAAAACTATGAAACTTTATAGTCTGGTTATCATCGGATAATCCATAGTTTAACAACGAAAGAAAATGTAAATCTGTTATTTGTTTTTAAATCAATAGAGAAAACCTTTTTTTGGTGTCAGAATCAAAAAATGCCAAACAAATGAAAATGGTCCGTTTTTTTGGTTTTTGACAATTCCTTTTATCATCAAAGACCAAATTCATTTGGTTTTATTTGATTTTAAATTCTAAACAAAAAACAAAAAACAAAATCACATGGTCTATTTGTTTTTGTTTCCAAAAAAAAAGTGAGAAAATCAAATTCAAACAAACGGTCCAATACTGGTTTTTGCAAATTCATTTTTACATTTCTCATTTGCAGACAGTAGATCGGTGGACAGACAGGAAGATGAAGTGAAGTGTAAAAAAGTCTAAATAAAAGTGTAACATAAAAGTTTAACATTAAGCACAGGATGTATACCAGGGTAATGTTAGACGATAGATTGATAAATGAGTAAATAAATAAATAGTCTGGATATGAACCAGTTGGTGTTATCTACTTGATATGGTTCACTATGAGTGGTTGTATGTTTATCACAGTCTATTCAATACTATTCTGTAAAGATTGTGAGTTTATTCTGGACCTTGGAAACTGTATCACCACAAGGTTTAGCTGTTCTGGAGCTTTTGATCATATCACATGAACTTCATCAGTAGTTGTCATGAAAATAAGTTCAAACTTTCTCTGATGGAGAAGATCATGTGATACAAGTGAAACAAACAGTAAATGGACCTTGTTATGAGACTGTTTTGTCAAATGCGGTTTCCAAGGTGAGGAACTTTTAAGCCAACATGGCAGTCCTTAAAATGCTCAGAAAAAATTTAATATATCTACAATGACAAATGGGCTGAGAAAGATCCTGTGATACAACTGAATGCTCCAGCTAATAAATGGATCTTGTTTCAGCTCTGCCACGCTGACAAGAATAACATTCAGGGGTTAACACAAACATGTTCACTGTTGTTTTTCTTGTGGTGCCCATTGTTTTCTCTCACCTCTCTCAGATTAGCTAGAGTCCTCTTGTCAATAGTCGCTTGTTTCTGCAGCTCCTTGTTCTCCCTCTCCAGCTCTTTGGCTTTGACGGCCACTTCCTTCAGCCTGTCCATTTCCTTATTTAGAGTCGTGCCCTCCTTCTCCACTGTAGCCAGTCGCCTGGTTTTCTCCTCCAGTTCTGTCTCTTTACCTTCGAGCAGCGTTCTGATCTTCAAGCTCTCCTTCTCCAGGTGTTTCCTGCCCTTCTCTGACTGCTCCAGGTCCAGTTGGAGCTTCCTCCTCTCCTTGTCTCCTTCCTCCCTCCTTCTCCGCTCCTCCTTCAGCTCCGCTACTTCCCTTCTCCATTCCTCCTCTCTGCTGTGTGTCTCTCGCCTCTCTCTCTCTACCTCTTCCCTCTCCTCTTTACTCCTCTCTATCTCCTCTTCTAAGCGATATTTCTCCTGATTCAGAGCTGCCATGTTCAGCTCCAGCCTTTCGGCCCTCTTCCTCTCTGTCTGTGCCTCCTCTCTGACCTCCTCCACCCTCCTCTTTAACTCCTGTGTCTCTCTCTGCACCTCCTGATGCTCCTCCTGCAGGGTGGCTAGGCGGGCGGATGAGGCACGCAGGTTTTCCTGTGAGCAGCGGAGGTCCAGGTTCTCCTTTGACAGCAAGCCATTCTCCACCTCGTGCCTCCCGAGCTTCTGCTGGGCCTCCTCTGCCTCCCGCTTCAGCCTGCACACCTCCTGCTCCAGGGAGGACACCTGCTTCTCTAGAGCCTCTGACCGCTCGCTGCATGAACGCAGAGACGCCACCTAGAAGCGAAACAGGGACAACTGCATCTTATAGACTAATTTTTTTTAGCTATCAGATTGGTTTTAAATCAGGAATACATCATAAATACATGAATTATTTTATGAATATTATTACTTCTTTGTTCAAAGAGTCCCTGCTCCGCTCCAGCCTCGCAGCCTCTCTTTCCGCCTCCTCGCACCGACCCGCCCTCTCCCTCAGCCTCTCTGCCTCCTCATTGGAGACTTTGAGTTGACTTTCCAAGCTGGCCACCCGGGAGCTGGTGTCAGTGATGTTCTGGTGCAGTAGGCGGTTCTCTGCTTCCACTTCGCGGACCCTCGTCTCACTGTTAGACTGTGCGCGCTCCTGAAGGGACACCACTGCTTCAGACAGGTGCTGCTTCTCGCTCTCCAACTCTGAAATCTGAGCGGACAAGGAGAACAAAGGTACGACAGCGTTAACAACAAAGAAAGTATTTAAGCGTCATATTTTACCTGAGTGTGTTAACTACCTGCCGATCCCTCTCTGCCCTCAGAGCGTGCATTTCTCTCTCCAGACTCTGCTTTTCCTTCAATATTTCCTCTCCCAGAGATTCCATGTCCTGATTGGTCAGTCTCTCCTGGTCCAACAAGACCTGAAGGCGCTCCAGCTGACAGAAAGTAACAGAAAAATTATAATTACTTTTTCTCTGTAACAATTAAAAATGTGTTTTGTAGATTGTGTGCAACTCTTTTCTCCTCACTGTACAAATGGCTCTACAATATCCAGGCCTCCCACCTTCTTGCTGAGGCTCTGGTTCTCACGGTCCAGCTCCTGGGTATGGAGCTGCTGCTCCTGCAGGAGGTGATTATCCCCTTTCAGTCTCTCTATAGAGGCCTGTAGCTCCCGGTTTTCCTTTTCCAGCTTCAAGACTCGACTGGAAACACACTCGTTCAGCTCATGGACCAATGACTTGCGAGCTGCAGCAGAGAGAAACACTTTGGTGAGGACAGAGTGTGGAGAAAAACATTTCTGGACACAAACAGAGCAGTATATAATAGAAAATAATAGAGAAAAAAAAGCAGGCATCTCACTCTCTGTGTTAGTGTTGTCGTGGTTCTTAGTCAGCTGTTCCAGCTCCCAGCCGAGATGAGCCGACTCGTTCATACTCTGTTTCTGTCCGATCTCCAGCAGCATGTTCTCCTCCACCAGCTCCTCCAGCCTCTGACGTTCGTTGTCCCTCTCCTGCACAACACACACACACACACACACACAAAAAAGATATATAGACATAAGTATTCTCAACCCTTCAAAACACACAGGAGAAGAAAGGCAGTTACACACACAGAGACATCAGTGATATCAACATGCATGAGCTAATGGCTGCTAACACTGGCAAAAAGGTTAAAAACTTTGCAACTACATTAAGTCCTCAAAATACAGCTGCTTTTCTGACAAGAGCCAAATACTACAACAGATTTTGTATCATTTATAACAATGTTTATGTCAAAAAAAACATCTGCAGGATGTTCAAGTTAAATTGTTTAGTTCTATTGCTTCTAACTTGCAGTTTGTTGTCTATCTGGTTGTGTATCTCAGTGCATATTTAAAAACATTTAAATGTACACTCTGATCGCTGTTTATATAAACACATGTCCATGTGTTACATATCTGAACGTATGTTTAAATCACTGAAAATTTGTATTTCTATTATCAATATTTCTTTTCTTGTTATTTATTTTATTTTTGTGTACTCAGGTCTCACTTGTAAATGAGCTCTTTATGTCAATGCTTTACGTCAATGTGACTTTCTGATTAAACACACACACACATACGTGTATATATATATATATATATATATACACACACACACACACACACACACACACACACGCCTTGTCTTTTTAAGTGAAAATCCCTTTAGAGAACAGATTAAAGATGACATTCTGCTTTAGAATAATTGTTAATACTACAGAACAAATACATCTGTATATGACTAACACACAGGTGTAGTATAATACCATTTCCAGGTCATGTATCTTAGCTCGTAGTAACAGGTTGTCTTTCTCCAGTGTGTGAAGTTTCTCAAAGCGTCCTCTGGAGGCTGACAGCTGCTCCTCCAACAACATCTTCGTCTCCATGAGAGTCAGGTTGTCCTCACGAAGCTCCTAAATGACCCAACACACACACACACACACACACACACACACACACACACACACACACACACACACACACACACACACACACACACACACATTAAGTGGCCAGCCAGTGCCAGATACAAGTCAGTCCGTGCTCATAATGTGTTTTTGTCTTCACTGTCAGTTGAAAGAACAAACCAAACAGATATAAAAAGCTCTACAACATGAAGTTAAACATATCCAATGATAGAACATGTGGTAGTCTCTCATAATACACAAAATATATTATAGACCTATAGTGTCATAATGTGATGGGTATGTGTATATTGGTGTGTAGTGTGAAGCTGTGGTTGTACCTCCACTCTGCTCTTGTAGAAGTGAACATCGTTGAGTTTTTCTTTACATCTGGTCAGTTCAGTCTCCAGTCTGTCGACCCTGGCTGCTCTCTCCCTCAGTGAGTCCACCTCGTCCCGGTACGCTCGGACCGAACGAGCCTCACAAGACAGCGACTGGTTCTGAACCACACACACACACACACACACACACGTGCATTACTGTCACCTTTTTTTCCATAACCATACATTAAAAATAATAATAAATCTATTCATCATATACACACAGACAGACAAAGTGGGAATCTGAATTTGTTGTTAAATTGAACATTTGGATGTAAGCTTGAATAACATGTAGAAGAAGTTATGGAACCAAAGTGAAAAGTGTAGACTCATGATGATGATTACTGGGTTGATTTCCAACATCTCTGAGACTGCAGTATGTGGTGTAGCAGTGTGCTCTGACACAGCAGCTTTGTTTCTGACTGTGTTTCGTGTACGCAACTAAAATGACAATGAGAGAAAACAATGAACTTCTAGCTCTGGCATGAAAAAACCGTCCAGTGCTGTTGTTGGATAACTAAACTACATTTGAGGTTCAGTGTTTTGTTCATGTCTGGGATGAAGAGAGTCTTTTCCTGTCAACATTCCTGCCACAACGGGACATTTTTCATATAGATCTGGTTCAAGCTAAAGTGTCCATTCTGCAGCCGTGTTATATATTTAAATATATATATCAAATCAGCATTGAATGATAGTCAATATTCACATTTCTTAACTGGAACATCTCTAATACAAGTGACAGCAGAAATCAATGTCAATCCCTGTCTAGAGTCCAGACAATATGTGTAGTGTATCTCCAGCGTTAAGACAGAAACCACACAGTCACATACGATTCTCCTCCAGTCGTACATATCTGACACTACTGTTATAAATGAGTCCTGACCTCTTGTTTCACTTTCTGTAACTCCTGATCCAGACGCTCCACCTCATGTTTTGAATCCAACAGCTGCTCTGTCTTCTCCTCCCTGTACGTACAGACGCACGCACAGACACACACACACAGACACACACACACACACACACCACATAAATAACTGAGTAGCTTCAATTAAAAGTTTTACAGTCATTATTCTGTATAATCAGCTCCACACGCTGGTAATTTCCAGATAGATTGAGAGTAACTGAAGAGAATAAGGACTCACAGTGATGTAATAAGACTGTCGAAACTTAGAGTAAACTGGTCTGACTGTAAGTCTTTATTTTACAGTGTTTGGTAAAAGAATCTAGATGGTATATTCTGCAGAATGACTGGACAGAACTAGACAGCATAATGACCTATATGCTGGTAGTATAATGACTTCCAGCCCCTGCTTGTATCACCACTGCTCAGCCTTAAACCAGTGATTACTCTGACAGGGAACAGTGTGCAATGAGCTGCTGCTTCAGTCAAACTCGAAAAATGAACATTTTAGGACTGATTAGTATCAAATGGACTATTTAGATTTTTTAAGTTACTTTTAAGCCAACATCAAGGTTTTGACTATTTTTTAACGAAAAGACCTACAGTTCTTGTCTGTTTCTGCGCAGCTTGGCCTTGGTGTCGGCGAGCTCCACAGACAGATGCTGTTTCTCTTCTTTGGTCAGCCCAGACACAGTTACAGACGTTCCTCCGTCAATTACTCCCACACCTCCAGAGCCCTGCCCACGCTCCAGGCTGCTCGAGCCTAGAGTCCTGCACCCTTCTTGGGGCTGCTGACTGAACAGGTAATCCCTCTCCTGGGTCAGATCCACAATCACCTAAAGGGCACAAGTGTTTCTGCTGAATTCACATCGAAGTAATGCTACAAGAAGACTTCTGCCAACGTTTAATACTTCCAGAGAAAATGTATTCATTAGTGTTTTACAGTGGAGAATCCTATACGCAGCATGACATCATCTCAATAATCTGCTTTATGTTCTTCACATAAGAAAGTCAACAACAATGACTGTACTGGGATTTTAATATTTGATACATGAATAAAAATATTCTTATCATTATAATAAAATAACATTATCAGCCTGGCAGTGGTTCTTGTGTTTTTGTTTCTCAGTACCTCACTGGCTTTGTCTCTTTGGTCAATCAGTTGCCGTAGCGATGAAGCCATGTTACGGGACAGAGGCTCCAGCTCTTCGTGCACAATCTCTGCTCCTTCCTCCAGCCACGACAGGTCGAGAACATTCAGCTGGTTGTGGGTGACCTGCAACAAACACACACGCACACCCCACATTTAGTGTAGTGACACATTATTATATCTATTGGTTAGAATATTAAAACCCAAGATGTCACTTTGTACAGGTGCACTAATTAATTCAATGGAAATGTTTAAAAGAATGTCTCTCTCTCACTACTCCCATTATAATCCACTATATAGGGAGTCTGAATGTATAGTGTAGACTCATAGTATCCCACAATGCATTGTGAAAAGTAGTGTACGACGAGGGGTGTAACGATTTACAAAACTGACATTCCGGCATATACCTCAGTTTTGAGTTCACGGTTGAGTATGTTTTCAGTACAGTGAAAAATAGACATGAAAAACATCTTTTAATTTATTATGAATTGAACTTGTCAACATAAAGGTGTAATCGTAAAGTTGTAAACTTGTAACCCGGTTGCAAACTGGCCATAACTTCAAATTGGGTGACTTGTTTCCTAAACACAAGAAATGCACATAAAGGTACATTTCTTTAAAAAGAATTATGTCATACCAAATCCATCAAGGTATTATTGATATTGCTGCAATCTACTAACAAAACTTCAAGTGCTTCAGAAGTTTATCAATCAGATAAGAAATTAATAATATAATAATAAAATAAAGATCCAGTAAAGTTTAGCGCATGTAGAAAATTATTGATACATTCACTCTATTCAGTTTTTTTTTCAGAGAGATTAATGTATCCACATCGTCTGCAGAAAGGGCAGATTTATTTTTGCCTTTATTCTGATAGTCACAGTCAGAGAGAGACAGGAAAATCAGGGGGAGGGAGGGAGGGAGAGAGAGAGAGAGAGAGAGAGAGAGAGAGAGAGAGAGAGAGAGAGAGAGGAGAGGACATGCAGCAAAGAGTCACAGGTCTGATATGAACCTGGGCCGCTGTGGTTAGGACTAAGCCTTTACCAGGCGAGCGACCAGGAGATCTGCTGGCTCTAACAATATCTCCTGCAGTTGTAGAAACCCTCTCCCTCACTTGTATGACTTTATTCACTAACATGTCATAGACTGAAAATCAGAACACATAACATTATGCACATAACATGCATGGTTAAAGATAGATTATGTTCATTTGGATCACATTGCATACTGAACCAGACATCCTGTACCGAACGGCACAGCACGAATACGTGAACCGTTACACCCCTATGTACAACTGATGCTCACTAACCAAGCAATATATACCATCATGCATTGCGCTTGCACTGAAAGAAAGAAAGACAGCACAGAGAAAATGAACCATGTACTGTCGAAAAGTGTTTTTTCTCACTGTATCATCCCCTAGAGCTCCCGGGATAGTGAGCAGGGAGTTTGAGTGAGTGCTTTCAGACACAACCTTCACAATGTTTACACTCATCACTGTTGTAATTGGGCTTGACCTGTTTGACATATTTGGAAACCTCGGGATCTGAGCTTAAAACAATAAAGGTCTGTGAGTTTGAACAATGCTCGTCCACACAGCGAGTGATGAGCACTCTTCAAAGTGTCAGTGCGGCTGAAGAGGTTAACTAGCATGGTAACCTCATTAGCCTGACCTCATCACCTGAGTCATCTAACAGATAATAGTCTGTTTAATACAGCTGTAAATAAACAAGCTGAAAATAGGAAGGAGTTATATTAAATATCACTTTCATAACAAAATGTCTTGAAATTGATTACTGCTGACTAAGCTGTTGTTGTTCTTTGATGTCAGCTGATGTTGGACGTGTTTCATGCTGCATGGAGATGAAACAATGCACATGGTGTGAGACATTTCTGGGTGGTTGTAATGAAGAGACATAAGGGAACAATTAGCTAATGTAACAACAGCTTCAACCTCACCTGACATCCGACACCGGTATGTGGATGACACAGCTCCAGTATCATCACAATTTTATTATTTATTATCATTTGATCTATCAATTATTTTCTTGATTAATCTATTAATAATTTATTCCATAAAATACATTCTAAAAAACAAGTAAAAAATGTCAGTCAAAATTTCCTAAAGCTGAGATATTGAAACTATTTTTGTCCATTTAACAGAAGCCAGGTATATTTCTATGTTTCTACTTCTCTTCAAAGAAAACCATGTGAATATTGAGATGCAAAGATATTGAGAAGCGAGAACCAGAGAAGACTAGCTCAAAAAATAAAATATTCCCATCTAAGAAGGTGGAACCAGAACAGTTTGGCTTGACAAATGATTTGTAAAGATGAATCGATTATCGAAATAGCTGCAGATTAAAACTCTGTTGATCATCTAACTGTTTAATTGACAAAGCATTTCTGCTTTTAACATCTAATCAGTGAAGTGAGTAGGGAGAGACCAAGTCAGACACCTGGAGTATCCCAGACATCACAAGGAGTTAATACAGCCAAGAGGTCAGAGGCCATCGACCAGGAGCTGATGGAGAACACGAGATGTGTTTGACAGCCTTCGAAAAGCTAGTAAGTGGACCTTGAGTTAAGATTATTTCACCAAAAATGCTGTAAGGTCAGAAAACACACAACAGTTTGAACTTCTGACCTACAGTGATCATCAGAGACGAACACCAGCATCTACTGACCTCCTGGATGTGAGAGACGATGGCGGCCTGGGTCTCAATGTCCAGCAGCTTGATCTTCTCTATCATCTCCTCCTTACGCTCACACTGAGCACACACACACACACACACACACACACACACACACACACACACACACACACACATACACATACACACATAGTGTCATGAATGTGAGTTTGTTTGTTTGGAGAAAGAGTTATTTTTGAACAACATCAACAACATTTGAATGTGGCTTTATCAGCCCCTCCCTCCCTCTGTGTTTCCATTCATCGCTCCCTCATGACCTTCCACTTTCATGGAACCAGTAGAACCAGTACGGGGAGGGAGGGAGGGAGACAAAAGGGGGAAGACAGAAAGAGAAGGAGGGAAATTAGGGATCAGGGAGTGAGGAGGAGAGGAACAGAGCAGCCGTGAGCAAAGGAGAAAACAGTCTGGTGGGTTCAGAGCCATGGGGGAGGTGGACATGAGAGACAACAAAGTGCTGAATGAACAAACACACCTGCGCACCCACCTCCCACCTCCCACGCCTCTCCTTTTTACCTACATGTAACTTACAGTTTAACTCTCAACTCACCCTTCTGGTTAATTCTTAAATCAAATTTAGGGTTCCTCTGAGTAGATTTCAAAACTTGCTGGTTTGCACTCACAAACTTAATTATCTTATATTTAAACGACTGTCAGAGTGCCCCTGAGCAACATGTGACATTTAAATAGCCAATACACAGTTCCATAATCCTGATGACTGTTACTGTAGGAAACCATTGATATGACTCCATGTGTTTTTGAGTCCTGCAGTCCCGCCCTGCACCTTATCAGCAGACACACTGAGCGGCTGTGCTCAGACATGCAAAACTAAACACACACAAACACATTTCCTGGGAGAGACTGGGTGGCACAGTGAACTGCTGTGTTTGGGCGTGTGTGTGTGTGTGTGTGTGTGTGTGTGTGTGTGTGTGTGTGTGTTACCTGTACAGCACAGCCTAGTATCAGTAACAACAGTCTTTTCAGTTCTTCCATGCTCTTGGCTGGAGGGGGAACAAAACACAGATGTACTGTAAATCACAAACATGAATATTCAGAGTTTACAAAGTGCTTCAGATACAAGAAATCATGATAAAAGTGAAAAGAATAAAGAAGGAAAAAGGTTAATGAAAGTCACAGAGCGAGTCCTTGAACATTATAAAATGATCTAAAGGCTGATGGTGACTGAGGCTGCAGGACGCCTGAGGCAGCGTTAAAGTACACTACGTATACAAGAGCTAACCGTTCATTGACTACAGACTCTGTTGTTATTCATTGAACAACAATTTAACAGAAACCGTGCAGTTTTAAACTCTAAACAGATGCAGACAATATAACAAACACTTTTCCATTGTGCACTAATACATCTGCCATCAAGACTCAAATAACTTTATAGATTATTCTAGTATTTTTCTCCCTTAGTTTGGTTTCTTGTTAAAGTAAGAATGATGTGATTTGAACTTAAGTTTATGAAACATGGACAGTGCATATGAATAAACATTGCAGGCTGCAGACTACAGTTCAATTCAAGGCTTTTTTTCATCGAATGACCACAACAAGATACATGAAATTCAGGAGGGTTGGAAAATAATTCCTTCATTATGAGAACAAGCCTAGCAGTAAACACAGTCTTGAATTTTGCTTATACCGAGCTATTTGGTGCCACTTGGCTCCCACAAATAAGATTCAATACAATTATCTTTCTGACTAAAATTCATGAGCTCTCCCACTCAGATTATATTGTTTCTGTCATTGCAGTTTTTCCACCTTATTTTACATTTACATTCATTTTTTTTTTTAAACAGGAAAAAACCTCAAAATATGGCAAGTTGACAATGTTAATGTATGTAAGATGTTACCATCGAGATGGCCTGTATTGTATGTAAAAATGTACGATATATAATATTGCCTGCCCAATAAGGTGTTATCAGTATATGGGACAGAGGGCTATACTCGTTTAGACAGGTTTGATAGCAATGTGATGAGATGTTCTTATTTGTTATTAGTATTATTAGTAACAGCCATGTTGCCCTGGCAGATACTATTTGTTACTGCCATTTTGATATAGGAGTGATAATTATATTTACCTCTTATCCTACTGTACAGGAGTGATAGCATTATGATAGGTGATGCCAATGCTTACCATGTGTATATATAGATTCGTATATTTTATTGTTGTTTATAATACATATTTATTTTATTTTTTTCTGTCTTCTGTGCTCTCTTTTTATCATTATCATTGTTACCGCTTCTGTTTATGTCTCTCTGTGTGATGTTACTGGGGTTTTTTTGTGTGTTTAAAAAGCAATAAAAAGTGAATTAAAAAAAAAAACAGGAAAACCAGAAACCAGAGTTTAAAATGTCTGCATCAGAGGTGAGCACATGTGAGACTATATAAAATACCTGTAATCAGATCCATAGAAATATATCATCAGGAATCTTTATCTTAATCAGTGGTTATGATCCAACTCACAACCTATCAAACAGTAAATCAATAAAGCATCTAATGACCTCATCCTGTGAATCATATCATCAGCAGCCAAGAGAAACTGCCTCCTGTTCTTGCAGAGACCAGTGTTTGAAATGACGTCATGGCAACAGATTCAAGAACCAACAAAGTACAAAAAGAAACATAAATACAGTTTTTTATCCATTTCAGCGCAGGCCTGAAAATTACTACTTAAGATGGTAATAAATAACACAACCAGTTTTTTCCATTTAGTGATTAATCCTGTGTGTATTATAGATGAAAGTACATGTAGGACGGTGGTGGAAATATGCAGGACATGATAAACAACAGGGTGTACAGTATGTTGTGTAGCAGTTGGTGTTACCTGATATTGGATCCTTGGCGATGCAAAGGATGTTGGGGAGGGGCATGACTACTAACTGCTGTAAAGTCTCCTGAAACACAGGCGGGGAGGGTGAGAGAGAGAACAAATTAATTCTCAATTTTACACTGATGATGATAACTGTGTATAAGACCATGTTACTGACAAACACTGGTGCACTAGAAACTATCAATCAGTAGCCAAGTGGGGGCAATAAAAGCATTAAAGTGGGTCCTTGTCACAATTCAAACATCAGTATACTTCTATTAAACTTCTATCCTTTGCAAAATTGTATTAGAGCCTGACAGATGCTGAGCTTTTGAGAAACAAGCTATGGGTATACAGTATATTTATTATCTTACATAAACACAACAAAAGTAGTTAAGGATCCCTTTAACTTGATTTTGAAGTAAACTTGTCAGTGGATAAATATGTGATGGAGACACTGTATCTAAATTACTTCTAACATTTCTTAACTGATTTCTATAATGCAATTTTCTTGTAGCTTGTTAGCCAATTTATATACCTACACATCTTTGACAAGCTAAGTTCAGCCAACATTATAATATAATAAGAAATGCCAATACATCCATTGGGCTATTAAGTGACAGTATATGTCTAGTGTTGTTCTTGTTTATACAAGAGCTGCTCAACTTTGATCCAAACACATCTTGTGTAGAAATGAATCAAAGTCCAGCTACTGACTGACCCAGACTTGTGTGCTTCATGTTTGTGTGGGTGCATGTGTGTATAGGCAAGCAGCCAACAGGAAACACCCTCCTGTCGACAAAGAGAGAGAACGTGTGTGTGTGTGTGTGTGTGTGTGTGTCAGTGTCAGGAAAGAAACACCCCACTAGGAGGGAATGCTTTCCATTCCACAATATCCTCTCCCGTCTCCCAAACACACCTGACTGTCGAAGCAGGCCAAGAAAATCTGTCTGCCACAGCAAGTTCTTTAGAGATGAGGAAACATGGCTGGGGAACGAGGTGACATGGGAAGATGTTAAATTTACTGTACTGATGGGAAATGTACTAATGGGAGTGTGTGTCAAATCCTGGTGTTTTGGGAGGAGGGAAGTATCTGGCAGGGAATGGCACACAGCTTCTTACAATAAGGAAAGACATCAAAATTCATATGTGCGGTGGTGCCGTTTCTATAGTAAATATTAGAGCTGCATGATATGAAAAAAAAAATCATATTGCGATTACTTTGGCAGATATTGTGATTGGATTCAGTTGGAATGATTGTTTTGTCATCTGATTTTCACTGAAAAAAATATGAAAACGATGATGATGTTGTTGGTCTTGTACCAAACAAACACGTTCCTTTACGTCGTAACGACAATGTATGACCTATGCTGGTGTTTATATTTGGCCACAGTCAAACCTAATCAGACACAGGGCTCTGGTCTAGAGTGTCATCTGCTAACCAGGCAAATAAAAGCACTATCAGCTTACACCACCATTACAGCTGAGCTGCAGGGACAGTGCTGAGGTACTGAGTGTAGAGGCAGAGCAGTACCTGCAGATACTGTTACACCGAACTATAAACCAGGATGTAATGAGAGACCAAACTAGTTTCTCTCACACACAGACACACAGCACAGTTTGAATAAAACATGAGAGCTGGCTACCAGATGACTCGGAAGAGGAGCTGGACTTGGAAGCTTTGCCACAAAGTCAACGACAACCGTGAACTGAACACTGAATATACACACAAAGAGCAAGTGAGATGGTTTTCCAGTCCATCAATACAATTCACTGAAAATGTTGGTTTAAAAAGTATTTGCTGAACCAGAAAACAAAAGTGAATGCTCTTCTTAGATTTCCACCAGTACTGGGACAACAAATCTGCTGCTACATTGGTGTTATCAGAGTAAAATATGTTGTAATCTGAAGAATCAAAAGGGTTAGGTCACATGCGACTGAACAACATTATATTCTAGGATTTCACATTAGCCAAGGCAGAGAGTTTGTGTGGCTCTGACAGCTTTGTCAGCAGAGGCTACATAGCAGGAGGGCAGTATGGGACATAGATCGCTCCTCTGGGAATGGCATACCAATCAGGTCATGGCCACAAGGTCACAAACGTGGCCAAGAGCACTTGTGAAGAACAAAACAATGACACAAAAAAAAAATGGAGAATGTGTGTGGATCATCTTTGACTGTTACCCTCAGCTCCATAAATCAAATCTGCTCTCCCAAATCCTAAATGTAGCTTTAAATTAACTTTTTAGTGATGGGAGAGTGTCATTGGTCACTGATATCAAATGCCTCAAATCAAAATTAAATCATCACATCTTCAAAACAAACTTTAAACTCATGCAATGACTACACTGTTATTGAAGGAGAGACTGCGTAACAAACCATGGTAGAGTTGTATTGATATTCTAGTTTTACTATATACTGTGGTTAAATATTCTGATAGTGACAATGACGCCAACTATTTATTTTACAGTCATTCACGTCATTTTCAGAGGGAACCCTGAACATAAGTCAACTGCTCTATTTTGATAAACCATGGATTATAAATATGACACAGTCCAAGTTCTGCCTTTTAACACCCAGCTGTGTGTGTGTGTGTGTGTGTGTGTGTGTGTGTGTGTGTGTGTGTGTGTGTGTGAATACTAGTGATAGCTGAGATCTATAGATATTCTCCTGCAGCAACATCACCAGCAGGATCTAACACTTATAACTGACAAGGGATCAATACAGCGTGCTATCCTGACCTATTTACACACACACACACACACACACACACACACACACACACACACACACAAGGCCTAAATCCATGTCCCACAAACACATTGGGCTCCTATTTCTAATCCCAGATCAATAAAATGGTGGCAGCTAACAGCAGATCTGACTTCAAATGAGCCACTAGGTTCTGTGCTGCACAGCTCTCTCACCACTTTGACCATTTGAAAATTTAAATCTGCTCCTTGCTTCCTCAGAAGTTTTGTATTTGTTCCCTTTAGTTTTATGAAGTCACATTTAGTCACACAGCCCCATGTCACATGAGACATCTCAGTGGGCTTCACAGGCCGACATCAGCAATGTTTCTTTCCACCCGGTTCAAAAAGTAATTCACAAGAAAGCCACCTGTATTTTTAGTATTTTTGTAGAGACATAGATAGTAACAACGGGTTGACTGTTGAGAATAGTCTTAAGTTTATCTGTTATATCCTTACTTTTGCAGGTTTTTGCCAATCTCTCCTTAACATCTCTGACAATGACGAACAATGATCAAAGTGAAGGAGCAGGAGCATGTTTCCTGTTGCTCTTGAACAGGGGCGAGAACCTAATTTGCATCCAGCCTAATGTCATATGGTTTCAGTCCTTCATCTGTTCTCTTCTCTCCTCCTCTCTGTGCTCACATATACAGTGTTCTGATACAGCTGAATTCACAATAAAGCTGTTCTCATTCACATGTTTTTCTGTTTCTGTTGTGAGATGACAGAACAAGTTTGAAATAGTGACTGAAACACGTCCCATTAAGACGACACATTAACTTCCAAGCTTCTGATTTTATAACCAGGACATTGTCCCACAAAATCACCAAACACATCAGTTAAAGACAAAGACTGAGCTGTGATTTCAGTTGGATTTACTGTAAAATCATCACTCACAAGTTAGAAGCGACAGAATAACTTTTTATCCTGTTCTCACTGAACACAGCGGACACAGAGAGAGGGGGCGTTACTCTCTTCTACGTAGCCAAGGTTTGTGTAAAAAGTCACTAGGATTTGTCACTAGCTGCTTTTTTTAAAAAAAGAAAAAAGGCAAATCAATAACGATAATAAAAACTGTTTGAAACAATTAATTTTCAAAGAGCAATGACCAATGGTAGAACTATGATCACTCTACTCTATCACTCAGTCAGGCCTGGATTTTGTGACTCTCCAGTCTTAAAAATAAAAACGTTTCTGTTTTTCTATCATATATTTTTCTTTTGAAAAGTTTTCTATTGACACAGAGCACATTAGTACTCCATCTGTAAACCCCCAGTCACTCCACTCTACCCCAAAAGGATCAGGGGATGACAACACACACACACACACACACACACACACACACACACACACACACACACACACACACACACACACACACACACACACACACACAGGTAAAACTTCTGTCTAGTAACCTCACCCCTTCAGTACACACACACCGGCAGTCTTTCCTTACAGTGGCTGGCAGTTACATTGAGCAATAAAACTCTGTCAACGGGTTTGACCAGGGTCAGTGCACACACACACACGCGCGCGCACACCAACACACACACACACACACACAGAATATTACAATCCACCCTGCCAGGGCGTGTGTGTGTGTACGAAGTAGGCCAGAGGATATGAAGTTCAAAACATCCCATGAAGGCTCAAGGCTTTGTTCTTCAGTTCCCACGGTAACTAAGAAAGGGTAAAGTGGTGATAGAAAGAGAGAGGGGGAAAGTTCTGCACATTCAAATCAGTTTCAAAGCCAGAGAGTCTCACAGTTCTAACGACGCAAAGATATTGTATAAACAAGTATAAACAAATTGCGGTGTGGAAACAAAAAGTGCTGATTTAAATGTTGAAGGAGACAGGATTAATCCAAGGACATATACTGTATTAGATTGACTGTATATAAGAGCATATACATTTTCATTTGTGATTTCAATACAATAATTCACGTTTTGTTTGGGGCGCTAAAAAACCAGGGGTGTACTGACTCCAGAACGGAGACCGAAACCGTAACACAAACATCAACAGTCAGTACCAGAAGACAGAACCACAATACACCGCCCACACCCCACCACACAACAGACATTGACAAATAGATCTATGAATCTTTATGAAAGAAATATCCAGTAGAATGTGTTACATGTTGAAAAAATATTCATTAAATTGTTATTTAAATACATGTTATAATCTATCTTCAGTGAGATTTTACAGATTTACAGCCGTCCAAAGTTTTTCCAACAAAAGAATAAAGGCAAGCGTCTCCTCCATAAAATTAAATCCACTTTTATTCATCTTTATTGAATCCTTACATCTGAGCTCTGAACTGTATGGCCAAGTGCAC